CCCAAAAGAGCTTTTTAGAAAGAATCAGTTCACCCCTATTAGTGAATCGTATTCAAGCTTGTTCCAAAAGCTAATAAGGTTAAATTTATTACAGCCAGTGGCCCCAAACCGGCCAAACCCCGAGTCCCCTTCTCACCGAGCTGACGCTAGATGTGAATACCACTTTGGAGTAGTAGGACACAATACGGAGGACTGTTGGACCCTCAAAAGGGCAGTTGAAGATTTGATTGAAGCTGAAAGAATCATTTTTCGAGATGAAGAAGCTCCTGATGTGATGAACAAACTGTTGTCTGCTCACAACACTAGGCCAATAGTCGGAATGATTTGTGAAGATGAGGAATTTGATCCGGCACTGAAGGCTATTGCAGCCATTGCCGAAATAGAAGAAAAGCCGAAAGACGGTCGCCAAGCTTGAAAGTTCCCCATCAGACGGGAATCTCAGTAGCCAGTCTTGCTATCCTTTATGCATCCAGATTATCTCAGGAAACACCCGGATGTTTTACTTTATTGTCTTACTTTCCAATGCTAACCCTCCTATCTTTTGAAATTCAAAACAAAATTAAAAAAAATCAAAAATAAAAATCAAAAATCAAATGAAATTAATATTTCATTGTCTAGGAATGTCTCTTTTCTTAATTTCACTTTTATTATTCTCTTTTTAGTTCTGTTAAATGTAGATTTCAATAATATGACATGCTTGCGGACTTCGTGCCCAGATCCTAAAATGTTGTCAGACTTCGAAATAATAAATCAAGAATCAGAATGCAATAAAGATAAGTTTAAGGAAATAAAATAAAGAGTTGGAACAACTGAAGGAAAAATGGTTCCTGATTGAAAAGGTCCAAAAATTGCAACAAGAGTACTGCCAAAAGAGTGTGTTGTACTTGGGACACATCGAAGGAAATGTCCCTGAAATAACTGTTAATGCAAATGCAGTCAAAAGGTACTATGTTAGATACTCTATATAACATTCTCTGATTGGGATGAAGAAGACTTTCTTTCTCACTATCCAAATATTCAACCCTTTGCAAATCCTTTGCGCCAACTCCCAATCTTTGACTACTCTCTTTGGAACTTGAAAGTGTTATTGAAAAAAAAGAAATGAAAAATGAAAAAAGAGAAGAAAAGAAAGATACAAAAAAGGAAGAAAAGGAAATAAGAAAAAGAAATGAAAAATGAAAAAAAAAGATGATGAAAAAGGAAAAAGAAAGAGAAAACAAAACAAAACAGAAAAAAAATAAAAGAAAATAAAAAACAAAGTTTCTTGAACTACGTTCGACTTGATTCCGAAAGGATACGTATGCAGCGTCTCTCTGGGGTTCACACACCAAAACAAAAATCCACATTTCACCAAAGTTTAAATGGGGGCAGAAGTTATAATGGTTCGACGATGATTTCGCCTAAAAGGTTCCAAAGTTGTAATTCAATCCAAATTCTTTTTACCCCAAATCCTGTTCAAGTCCTTTCGATCAATCGGTGAGAATGTTCAAGGATCGGAGAATATAGCTACTTGGATCCGATTTAATAAAAATGAGAGAAATAAAATGAGAGAGTCTTATTGGTGAAAATCCACACAGGCACCGTGAGGTGACAGTAAGCAAAGAAATAAAATGAGAGAGTCTTATTGGTGAAAACCCACACGGGCACCATGGGGCGATGGTAAGCAGAGAAATGAAAAATGATAGTCTTGTTAGTGAAAAATCGCAAAAAGCACTATAAGGCGATGGTGAGAAAAGAAATGAGAGAGGTTAGCTGGTGAAAACCCGCAAAGGGCGCCCCTGATCAAAAAGAGGATTTTCCGTCATTAACATTGACGTAGTCCTGGGCAAGGTTTCTCGATTTTGAGGTAACATTTGTGATGAATTTCTGAGAGTCAGACAGTTTACACAGATCAAGCATCCAGTCTAAAAGGCATGTCATGTTCATTGAAGTCTGCATGTACTCCAGATAAGTCCTTCTTTCCTTTCCCCGAAAGGGATACCTCTTGTCTAAATTCATTTGTGAATTCCATTGTGTGCTTTTATTTGAATCCCTTTCGGTCTAACTATGTTCCGAAACTAATACAAAGAAGGGATGGCAAGATTGATTTACAGGTTTCTCATTTGATACAAGCTAATATGCAAAAAGGGTACCCAACATTGTCAGGGGCATCAAGTCGATCTCGACTGGCCCTGGTGGCCGATGCTTCGAAATCAAAACTTTTGGAAGGAGAAAATCAAATTGAAGTGCCTACAAGGGCAAATGAAGTTGAAAAGGTTGAGTCCCACGCAGCTAACCGTCCTGGCAAGGTTTGAAAAGCAAATATACCCCAAATTCTCTGGAATTAAAGTTGGAAGAAAGAAGCCAGAAATGAAAGGTCTATGAAGGCGAAATAAAGTTGGAAAGGGCTAAGTCTCACGCGACTAGCCGGTGCGACAAAGTTTGAGGAGCAAAAAGTTCCCCAATGCTTTGAAGTTAAAAAAAATAAGTCAAAAGGGAAAGGCCTACGAAGACAAAATAAAGTCGATAAGGTTGAGTTCCACCGACCAACCGTCATGGCAAAGTCTGGAAAAAGCAGAGGTTCTCGAGGACCTGAAATGAAATCGGTCCTCAGGGAACAAGCAATTGCAGTTGAGATCTTCATCAAAGAAATGGAGATGAGATCAAGTGATTAAAACAATCAAGGCCACAAAACCAACCACCGTTTCAAACTAACAATTGTTCTTTGTTTGAAAACAGGAAACATGTGCAATCCAAAGCAACCTTGCAAGAAGCAGGTGCAACCAAAAAGAAACTGCGAAAGGGCTAGAAACACCTTTGCAGCAATAATCAATCCAAAAGGGAAGTCTCCTCCAAATTCGTTCCTGTATTTTTACTCATTTTTTAACTAAAAAAATGAAATGAAAAGAAAGAAGAAGAAAAATTCAAAATCTTGGCAACATAGGGTCTCACTCCCTAGCTGATGCCAGCATAACCTGGTAATCTTTTCCAACATAGGGTCCCACCCCTAGTTGATCCCGACATAACCCGAGGACTTTTCCGACATAACCCGATGACTTCCCCAGCATAACCCGAGGACATTTCCGGCTTTACCCGATGAATTCCCCGGCATAATCCGAGGATCTTTCAGGCATAACCCAATGACTTCCCCGGCATAACCCGAGAACCTTTCTGGCATAACCCGATGACTTTTCCGGCATAACCCGATGACTTTCCCGACATAACCCGAGGACCTTTCCGGCATAACCGGATGAATTCCCCGGCATAAACCAAAGACCTTTCCAGCATAACCCGATGACTTCCCTATCATAACCTAAGGACCTTTCCGACATAACCTGATGACTTCCCCGGCATAACCCCGAGGACCTTTCCAGCATAACCCGATGACTTTTCCGGCATAAACCAAGGACCTTTCCGGCATAACTCGATGACTTTTCCGGCATAACCCGAGGACCTTTCCGGCATAATCCGATGACTTCCCCGGCATAACCCGAGGACCTTTCCGGCATAACCCGATGACTTTCCCGGCATAACCCGATGACTTCCCCGGCATAACCCGAGGACCTTTCCGGCATAACCCGATGACTTTTCCGGCATAACTCGAGGACTTTTCCGGCATAATCCGATGATTTTCCAGCATAACCTGGTAATTTTTTCCAATATGGAGTCCCATTCCCTAGTTGATGCCAGCATAGCCTGGTAATCTTTTCCAACGTAGGATCCTACTCCCTAGCTTTGCCAGCATAACCTAGTAATCTTTTCCAGCACAGGGTCCCATTCCTTAGTTGATGCCAGCGTAACCTGGTAGTCTTTCCAACATAGGACCTCCGATCCCCATTTGATTTCATTTTAGATATAGGGCCCCACTCCCTAATCTCTTTTCTCCCAAGGATACACAATCCTAATTTTATTGCTTTCAATAAAAAAGTAGTTTAGATTTTTGTTACAATAACTCACGAAATTTTCCTAGTAAAAATTGGGGCAGAAAATTGTGTTCGTTTGTTTGTTTTGGTTCCTAAGCAGGTTTTTACCTTGAGGCACAAGTTTCGAGGCAACCAAAAGAAAAGGTCTCGATTCAAATAAAAGAAAAGAAAACAAGAAAAGAAGTGAACTCTTAGGTAGAAGCTGAGAAAGATGTGGACTGCTCAAGATATGATTGAAGTCACAAGCTTTGCATGTCCCGCCTTGATCTGAGAAGCTGAAGAAGAATGAACTAGCGGTTGCAACTAACGAGCATCAAGATTCAGATTAGAGTCTGCAAGAAGAACCAACCAAGACTCAATATCTAGCTTTAGAAGGTTTATAGATAAGAATCTTGTAACTCATAGTTGATAGGCTTAGCTACTTTAGCTTTTCATCTTTCATTTTGGTGTAATAAGGAGCTCAGCAAGCAGAAACAACAGTGAAATCACAGTTTCTCGGTAGTCCCAGCTACCAAAACTTCCAAAACTACACCGACCTGATTCCTTTATAGTCAAGGATATGTAGGCAACCTCCGAAGCAAGGTTCAGTCAAACATTTTCAAAATGCTTCCAAATGGAGTTTCAAACGGGCAAAAATTGCTCGTAGTTGCTCACTTTATCTTTGTCCGAAAACTTTTCATGTTTTCGAGCAAAGAGGGGCATCTGTGAGCACCTAATTTTTGCCCAGCATGAAAATAACTCCTAAAAAATAGACCAAAATATAATTTTAGTGAATTTTAGTAGTTTTTCTTTATTTAGTTGCATTCCATGCATCTTTAATATTTTGAAAACGAAAATCATAAGAAAAATCATAAAAATTATCACATTTTTATTTCATGACATCTTAGGTTTAATTTGTAGTTAGGAATTTAATTGCATTCAATAAACAAAAATCACAAAAAATTACTACAATAGTCATGTCCACATTTTAACTTTTAGTTTTAAGATAATTAGTGTTAAATTAATAAAAATAAGTAAGATTAAATTTACAAAATAATTTTAGTTAGAGCCTCCAAATTAATTTAAGTTAGAGCAAAATTTAGGATTTTATTTGGCTTGTTCAATTAATTCAATTAGATTTTTGAAATCAAAAGAAAACAAAGAAAAAGAAGTAGATTTGGTCTTTCAATTTTGTGTGGGCCAGCTTAATTTGAAGCCTAAAAATCCCAAATTACCCAAGCACATACAATCTCAGCCCACTACCCAAATACCCATTCCCCTTTATTGAAACCCTACCTCCTACACTCTAATATATACACATATTAGAAAACCTAGACTAGACAATTAAAAATAGAGAACCCTTCCTATGCAAAAAACCAGAGAAACAACGTCGTTCCTCCTCTTCCTTATTCATTCTTCTCTCATCTTCAACAGATAACAGATGGATCCCATCTCTCAAAAGCTTCAAAAAAAAAGAAAAAAAGAAAGAAAAAGAACCACGAAGAATTTAAATCTGGTCTGATTTCTGCTGCATTACTTCTACATCTCATGGGTGTTCGAGTTTAATTTCGATTTCAAAAGTCGAAGATGTGTTTTGCTGAATTCGTTGCTGCTCCGTACCCAAACTTATTCATGTTTTTTTAGCTAAGAGGTAAATTCAAAAAACCCCTTTGTATTTTACCATATTTATTGACTATCGGATTTCTCTTTCCTGCTCAAAATTGGGTCTTACTTTTGGTTCTATATTTGCTTACCTCTGAATGATTTAATAGATTCGTCATGTGTGAGAGTCAATTTCATAATGAGTTTGTTCATTGCAACTGTTGACATTGAGTCTATTTGCTTTCCTCAGTTGTCTCGATTTTTTCTTGAAGTTGTCTTTGTTCCTTTTGCTGTCAATGATTTGTTTGCATTTATTGTTAAATTATGGTCTGTTAAGAACTTCTACCTTCAAGGTTGTTGAAATCTTATTGAATTGATATTTATTTGAGAATGGGCATTGAATTCGTGTTAAGTATTTTGTTTCGAGTTGAAAATTCATGATGCACTAGCTATTGTGTTTCAGCTAATTGGTCAATTGATTCCATGTAATGGAAACAATAGAGTTGCTACCTAACAATGAAGTTCCAGTTCCATATTTTAGAGTTGACACCCCTTATGAGTATGTTGATGTTCCATAACTTCAAATAACATTTGTTTCGATTTTAGCCACTTAGCAGTTTTAGTGATTTCTTTGATTGATTCACTGGTTCTTTAGAGTTTAGAATGTTTTTCCGTCTCTCATCCTTTTAGTAGTCGTGCTAGTAAAGATATAAGCATAAATTGTTGTGTTGTAATATTAAATTTTTTTAGTATCTTTTTTATTAGATTCATAATAGCTAAAATCACATATTTTTTCTACAATAATATTCCTTAACTCATGCCTTACAATAATCTCAAATCTTAAAGAAAGATCACTCATGAACATCGTAGCTTGCTTTAGGTGCGATTAACAATCAAACCATCGTGACTATGGGTACGGTTCCCGTGGCATAGTCTTGATACCTAATTTTTAAATTCGGGTTTGCATTTCATGTGACCCGATCATAACAACTTCGAACAATATTAAAATAAACATATCGCGAATCGCAGGTACATTTCACGTAGTGTGGTTTGCGGTGTGTTCCAAAACGGCAAGTGTACGACAATCATAACTTGTTCAAGAAAAAAATTTCATAAATCCTAAAAAGTGGTTAAAATAATTAAAAGTGGTTATAAATTTAAAAATGCACACAAGGTTTAAAAAATGTAATAAATCAGATAATTAGGCTGATTATTAATAGTTACGTGACCGTGCTGGAACCACGGAGTCCGAAAATGCCTAACACCTTCTTCCGGGTAAATAAAATCCCTTACCTAGTTTTTTGGTTTCGCAGACTTTTAAATAAAGTCAAATTTCCTCGGTTTGGGATTTTAAAATAAACCGGTGACTTGGGACACCATAATAAATATCCCAAGTGGCGACTCTGAATTAAATAAAATAATTCCATTTTGATTTATGTCACTTTAATTGGAAAAACTCCCTTATATCCCCATCGGGTGGAAAAAGGAGGTGTGACAGCTTCTCACACATCTTGACATATGGGCATATAGAGGTATTTTACACTTGCTATTTAAAAAGAAAATGAAACATCATATTCATTATTGAAAGGATTTTTGGGAAAACTCACAGTTTTCAAACTTACACATATTTTTTGGCTGTTTTGGTTAGAGATTTGGAATTTTCACTAATATACTTGAGAAGCAGAACTATTTTTCGGAAATCATGATTTTGCTGAGCATGTTAGCTTTGAGTTACTTCTTTTATTACTTGTTTTATATTGTTATGAACTGTTGTTAGCTACTGGATGTTGGACCTGACCTATGTTCCAGCTCGTAACTACTTTCAACCTAAGGTTAGATTTGTTACTTATTGAGTACATGGGATCGATTGTACTCATACTACACTTCTGCACCTTGCATGCAGATGTTGGCTGATGATGTTGCTGTGCTCAACGGGAGTTGTACTTGAAGACTTACATGTGTTTCAGTTGTAGTTGCCTCTTGTTTATAATAGCCTTAGATTCATAAAACACTGTTTATGTACTTTTCAAACATATGATGTATTTACCTCATACCAGCTTTGTTAATTCTATTCTTAGAACCTCATGAATTGTACTACCAGTCATTGGGGAATATATCAGATTCAAATATTTCTCACTTAATTTCTTTATTAAATTGTTATTGGAATTGGATATTATTAATTGGCTTACCTAGCGGGTTGGGTTAGGTTCCATCACAACTAGTTGGATTTTGGGTCGTGATAGATTGGTATCAGAGCTCTAGGTTCATATGTTCTACAAGTCATGAGCAAGTGTCTAGTAGAGCCTTGCAGATCGGTATGATGACGTCCATACCTATCTTCGAGAGGCTACTGGGCATTTAGGATATACTTCCCATCTTTCTATCCTTATCGTGTGACATTGATTCAGCTTGAAGCGTAACCTTTTGAATTCCTTCCACGAATTTGTATTTGAACATGAGCACTAGGTATTAGCTGTGCATCAATAGCTTGTGATCATATGGATGAGGTGCGAGACATGATTTATGTGTGCTGATGATGGGCTAGTCTGGAAGACTTAAGCCCGGGTTTTAACTGTAGCTTAAGCATGGAGATTTTAATTGTGTGAGCACGTGCTTTTGGACTAATATGTCTGGTAGTGTCCTTATTAGTGGAATTTGTGATTGGATGACTATGTGATGAGTATGATGTGACTGCGAGATGTGTTCAGATTGCTCGAATGTGATAAGAAAAGTTTGCTTGAGATGCATAAAGGACTATTGGGTGTTTGATTTTGTCTTTATGTGACGTATAGTCTCGATTTATGAGTGTATATATTCCATGATATTTAACCGCGAAATGAACTAGGTTATCATGCCTTGTTGGTGAGTTCAGGCTCATGAAGATTAAGTGCTCACGTGAACCCATCAATTTGGCCTTCATGCAATCTCCATTCATGTAAATCCATGCTTAGACATCGATATTTTAAAAAAACATGTAAAGGGTTAGCTTAAATGTTTCACGTATTAATTATGATGATAACAAACCAACAAATAATCAAAGAACGTTTACTTGTGATAATCTTATTTTTGCACAAGTTTATTCAAGAAAAAGATACTGGTAAAGCTCCAAATAAATATGGAAAAGAGAATATCATGTGAAGAATTTACAAAGGAAGATTATTTTCAGAGATTTAATCTCCAAGTGTCGTAGAAGGAATAATATTTGAAAGTCAAACTTCAAATATTAAATGGCTTACTACAATATCAGAAGAAGAATTTATGGAAAATATGGAAGAAAAGTTTTTCAATATCTTCAAATGAAAGTAGCTAAAATCATGGAGAAGATTTATTATTTTGTAGAAGGAAGATACTATATGGAATAGATACTACAAGTCCAAGGAAGAATATATTTCTTATGGAAAGAAAATATATTATGGGTATGGTATATTCTATAATATGGAAAGAGAATATTTTTCAAGATCAAGAAAGTGGTCAAAGATATATTGAGATCTGTGACGACCCAGCCGGTCATCTTAAGAATTAACTCTCCAATCACCTATTAACTGCTTTCCCCTTGTTTGTTTATGCTATTGTGAGTTGTCGGGAGGTTTATTTGGCATTTCGAAGAGTTTTGGGACACTTAGTTCCTAAATGAGAGCTTATGTTTTGAAAATTTGACCGTAGTCGGTATAGTGTAAAGAAGGCCTTGGAATGGAATTCCGATGGTTCCATTAGCTTTGTTGGGTGATTTCGGGTTTAGGAGCATGTTCGGATTGTGTTTTGGAGGTCTGCATCTAATTTAGACTTGAAATACCGAAAGTTGAATTTTTGAAGTTTCCGGTCCGATAGTGAGATTTTGATCCGAGGGTCAGAATTGAATTACGGAAGTTGGAGAAGCTCTGTAGTGTTGAATTTGACGTGTGTGCAAATTTCAGGCCATTTGGACGAGGTTTGATAGACTTTTTGATCGAAAGTATATTTTTAGAGTTTTTGAAGTTCTTAGCCTTGAATCCGATGCTAAATTGGTGTTTTGATGTTGTTTTGAGCGTTTCGAAGGCTGGAACAAGTTTGAATGAAGTTATAGGATATAATGGTAGGTTTGGTTGAGGTCCCGGGGGCCTCGGGTGTATTTCGGATGCTCAAACGGGCACTTTTGGACTTTGGGAGATTGTTGGTTTTCTGGTATTTTTGCAGCAATGATTTGTTCACTATGATCGCGTACGGTAAGTTGAGATCAGGCATTTTTTTGTGAATCGCAATCGCAAAGGTAGGCGTGCGATCGCATAGGATGAGCTTGTTGGTCATTGCGTTCGCATAAGGACCTTTGCGTTCGCGTAGAAGGACTTGGTGTGGCAGTGGGGTGATGGAATTTGCTCTATGCGATCGCATAGAGCTGGTCACGATCACGCTGCTTGAGGAAATTGTCTTATGCGATCGCATAGGGTTAAATCTGGGCAGTATTTAAATAGCCCATCCGTGACCCTTCTTCATTTTTCCAGCATTTTGAACAGGATTGAAGATTTTGAGAGTGATTTTTTAGGAAACCAAAGGGGAATCACTTGGAGGTAATATTTTTGACTTCATAACTCATTTTTATGTGATTAAAGACCTAATAAGTGGTGAAAAATTTGGGGAAAAATGGATAATTAGGGCTTGAGATTAAGAGTCTTATCTATGAGAGGCTATGTAACTGTTAGGAAAATTCCACTTCATTTGATTTCCTTGTCGTGCGAGATTTTGACATCACATTCTAAACTTCTGTCTTCTATTCTCTCACAGATGGTGAGGACACACACTACTCGAGATGATCAGGCACTCACGCCCTCTGCTGCAGACGTTAGTGGCTGGGCCGGGGCCGGGGTAGAGGCCGAGGAAGTGCATGTGGTGTAGCCAGAGCACCTGCGCGAGCTACCATCGACGTACCACTAGCAATTCCAGTCGGAGTTCAGGCACCAAATACGCCTACTTCTACTACTACTCCAGCACTTCAGGAGACTCTAGCACAGTTTATGAGCATGTACACCAGTTGGACTCAGTTTTCAGATATGTTCCTAAGAGAGTATGTTCCTCAGAGCCTCAGGGATGCATGGCGCGCAGAGTTTGAGCATTTGCACCAGGGTGCTATGACTGTCTCAGAGTATGCTGTCCGTTACACTAGTTTGGCTAGACATGCACCAACCTTGGTTTCTACTGTTCGTGAGAGGGTTCTCCGGTTTATTGAGGGGCTTATTCCCAGCATCAGGTCTAGCATGGATCGTGAGTTGGAGATGGATATTTCTTATTAGAAGTGGTGAGCATTGCTAGGAGGATTGCGGGTATGCATTCAAGGGAGAGAGAGGAGAGGGAGGCCAAGAGGTCTCGAGAGTCGAGCCATTATTCTAGCCCGTGCCCCAACTACAGGTCGTCATGGTAGGGGTTACATGAATTGCCCTATTCATTAAGCGCTTCCAGCAGCTAGTGGTATTTTAGCTCCTCCTAGGCCTCAGGAGCCTTATTATACACCTCTGGTATCTAGCATGCCTCCTACGCGAGGTGCTTTCAGAGGTTAGTCCAGCGGACCTGGCCCGAGCCAGTCACAACCACCACGTCCTCCCAGAGCTTTTTTTGAGTGTGGTGACACACGCCATATGGTGAGGGATTGCCCTAGACTTGGGAGGAGTACGCCTCAACAGACTTCTCAGCCACAGCGTGCCCTGCAGAGTTCTCAGGCTATGGTTACAGCTCCAGTTGCTACCCCACCTGCTCAACTAGCTAGAGGTAGAGGTCGCCTTAGAGGGGGAGGCCAGGCACAATATTATGCCCTTCTTGCCCGTACCAAGGCTATTGCCTCCGATTCTATCATCACAGGTATTATACTGGTTTGTCACAGAGATGCATCAGTTCTATTCGATCCAGGCTCCACTTACTCTTATGTGTCTTCTTATTTTGCTCTATATTTGGGTGTACCTCGGGAATCTTTGAGTTCCCCTATTTATGTTTCTACTCCTGTGGGAGATTCTCTTATGGTGGATTGCATTTATCGGTCGTGTTTGGTTGCTCTTAGTAGTTTTGAGACCATAGCCAATTTATTGTTGCTCAGCATGATAGATCTTGGTATTATCTTGGGCATTGACTGGTTGTCTCCCCATTATGCTATTCTTGATTGTCGCACCAAAACCGTAATGCTAGCTATGCCAGGTGTACTGCATGTTGAGTGGAGGGGTACTTTAGATCACACTCCCAGTAGAGTTATTTCTTTCCTTAAGGCTCAGCGTATGGTTGAGAAGGGGTGTGACATGTATCTAGCTTATGTGAGAGATGTCAGTATTGATACCCCTTCCGTTGATTCTGTCCTAGTAGTACAGGATTTTCCTAATGTATTTCCAGCTGATCTTCCGAGCATGTCGCCCAATAGAGATATTGATTTTGGCATTGATCTGTTGCCGGACACTCAGCCCATTTCTATTCCTCCGTATCCTATGGCTCCTCCTGAGTTGAAGAAGTTGAAGGATCAGTTATAGGAATTGCTTGATAAGGTTTTTATCTGGCCCAGTGTATCACCTTGGGGTGCTCCTATCTTGTTTCTGAAGAAAAAGGATGGTTCTATGCGTATGTGTATTGATTATCGCCAGTTGAACAAAGTTATAGTGAAGAACCGTTATCCTTTGCCTCGTATTGATGATCTGTATGACTAGCTTCAGGGCGCACGAGTATTTTTTAAGATTGCCTTGCGCTCAGGTTACCATCAGTTGAAGATTCGGGAACCATATATCCCGAAGACTACTTTCAGGACACGGTGTGGTCATTACGAGTTTCTTGTTATGTCATTTGGGCTGACCAATGCCCCACCAGCCTTTATGCATTTGATGCACAGTCTGTTCTGGCCATATCTTGACTCGTTCGTCATTGTCTTTATTGATGATATTCTAGTGTATTCCCGGAGTCGGGAAGATCATGAGCAGCACCCGAGGATAGTGCTTCAGACCTTGAGAGAAAAGAAGTTTTATGCTAAGTTCTCGAAATGTGAGTTTTGGTTGGATTCCGTGGCATTCTTAGGACACTTGGTGTCGAGTGAGGGTATTCAGGTGGATCCGAAGAAAGTAGAAGTCGTACAGAGTTGGCCCAGACCATCCTCACCTACTAAGATCCGCAATTTTCTTGGCTTGGCGGGTTATTACCATCG